TGGTTTCTTCAGGGTGACCCTCTTATTCGGATTAATACTTTAAAGACTCCAAGTATTTGATAGCAGTTAAAAAAGRTATAATGTTTTCACTTTTAGGGAAATGAATAAACGCTTAACGGAAGAGCAAGCCAAGAAGACATTTGAGAGAGCCATGAAACTGGAGCAAGAATTTACTGAACACTTCACAGGTATGTTTGGCTTGTGMCTGTTCACTTGCCAGAGTTGAAATTTTATTGCTTGCTGTAAAAACAGTACTTGCATAACCAGTGAGATAAAGCTGAGCTTTGTTTTTCAGATGATCTGTGATTACTTTGAGGTAKAGAGCAATCCTAGTATCTCCACATTGATTTCAGTCTGATCAATTAATTTAATATACACAAAAATTTACTGTGAGCTTAATTTAGGTTTTAAAAAATGTAAGCCTTTCTACCATTTTCCTGGGTATTGAAATGCAGATGTTTGCTTTGTTGGTTTCTTGTACACCTAGAACTTTTATTTGCAAGCAGAGGTAGGGCTAGCAGGTAGACATCCCAAGGTCAGCCAGCCCTGCTGTCCAGCTTCAGGATCAAGCTGGAGGACACAGCCCTGCACTGTCTTGCTTTTTGTTGGAAACACAAATGAAAGTTGGGCCAGGCAATAGTGGATAATGTGAATTGACTCAAATTGGAACATGTGGCTAGGAAAAAGTTAAAAACCTCCTCAGTTGTATGTGTATGTGTTAGTACAGTGGAAACCACTTCCCATCCCCAAGAAGAGCTTTGTGTGTCCTGCAGTACCACTCTGTGCTTCAYTCCAGCACAGAAACCAGCAATGGGCATGGGTGTCCATTCCTTCAGCCGTCAGAATCCTCCTGGGAGGGGAAAGAGCAGCTTGGTGGAGCACAGAGCCAGGAGGGGCGATTGCTGATTGCCACATTGTGTTTTGCAGCTATTGTCCAGGGAGACACACTGGAAGAAATCTACAACCAAGTGAAACAGATCATAGAGGAACAGTCTGGTCCTTACATCTGGGTTCCAGCAAAGGAAAAATTATGAAAACAGATTTTTATTTTTCATTTTCTAACTGACATCACCTACTACATCTGACGACTCTTAAGCCCTTCCAGTGGAGCCTGCCTCTAGTTCTTTCCAGCGTGGTTCATACCCTAACCATCACATTCTGCAGTTCCCATAATGCTTTACATTTGGTGTCTCTCTTAGTTTAAATAATTTGTATTATTGTGTGTTGTTGGTTTGCCATTTTTCAAACATGACAGTGGAATGGCCTGACCAGCTATTAGCTTAGGGTGGGGGTGGGAGGGAATTGCTTGGTAAAATTCCTTAATGTTTAAGGGAAAGTAACTTTCAAAGATTTTTCAAAAAAGCTTTATAGACATTCTTTTAAAATTTCGTAACAATTGAAAGAAAAGTTGTATTCAAGRAAGTTGTAAATTATGAGTAACTTTGCACGCTTAACTTTAATAGCATGGTTTGGTCAGGGCAATCAATTTCAGGTTTTATTTTCTGAGTTCAATCCTATTGTCACARTATCTTTTTTTCTTTCCAGGCAGTTAGAGAGAAACTTTCAAATTTTGAGTTAGCATTTTCATTAAGTCCCATTACTACTCCTAAAGGGATATTCATTTTCATAATTTCATAYGGATATTCTTATAATCTATTTTTTCATTTTTTGCCAATAAAATTGCTAGGGACAAAGAAGTGTAATGTTTTTAATCTTCCTCATGAAACACTATTTATAGTGTGTTACAGAAATTCTTTATAGATAATGGTCATCACACTTTTTGAGCCTAAAAATATGTTTAGGTGCTAGGAAACCTTATATTTTTCAGAGGAATGCCAAATTTCCATTGGCAGTAATACAGAAAACAGCTGCAGAGATGGTCATTAGGGCAATGAGAGAATGATTCATAGCCTAAAAATGTGTGTGTTCTTAGGGGTCAGATTTTAATGAATATTTTACCCACAATAACTGCCTATTTTGTTATAATAAATATATATATATTAAACTTTCTTTAACTAAACTCTGTAACTATGGGAATTATTTTCTTTACATAGTTGCGCACACATATAAATATATATATATAAAATATATATTTTTCTTTTACCACCTACTCCTAGCTTTTTGTTTTGAATAAAAATTAAAAAAAAAACAAATTAGAATTTACCTTCCTTAATCATGGAAAAATCAAATGGGCTGTGATGGCTGGGCATGAAGTCCAGGGAATATTAGTACAACAAAAAATAAATGCAAGTTCTCCTCTTTTCTACAGAACTCTGGGTGTTTGTCTTCCCCGTCCCCTTTGTAATATGCATGTCTTAACCAAAGGGAGAATTCAGAGTCAACAATATATTTTTTTTTTCTGTACATGTTCATCTTGGATTGCACAGGCACAAGATCTTCCATTTGCAATGCACAAACTTCTGTGCTGAATGTTATGAATACGTTGTACCAAAACCTTCAATAATGAAATTCTCRAATTCCCGCATTATTTGGTAGCTGCCATTGCTTGTTTGCAACTGATTGTTTTTAAGAGGGATGTACTTAYGGCAGTCATGGGGCAGTCACACAGCCAAATCAGCTTTGGTTTGTAAAGAATTATCAGCACTATCCATTCCATTTGTTAGAAAGAGGAGAACAGCTAATAAACTTTATTGTACAATATATTTGTCAAGTGTCTTTTTAATTATGATAAATACAGGTGTTGTAGCACTTTAGAATAATTAACTAGGATTGTAAATGACAATCAGGTGTTAGAGAAACACTGGTAACCAAATTGGGGGCAATGAAGTTACTGTATTGGAAGCAGGTTTGAACTTGTGACACAATTACTGATGGTGTTATGTGGAATGCTAACGAGGTTTACAGAAGTTAAAGCTGCTGCTGCATGGCCCAAAAGAGTTTTTCTGGTTTTTAAGATTTTGGAAATCAGGTGTGCTGCCTTTCTGAGAATTCCTGCTCATGAAATGCACGGTGTACTGGATTAATGCAGCTTTTGATAAATAATGTCATAAATTTTTAAGGAAGCTACTGTTGTCTCCCTCCTTGAAAATGACTGATTATTKGAGGTGTCTTGTGAGACATCTCAAAAGACCAACTCTAAAAAAAAATAGAAGGATATGAATCTATCAAATCTGCAAACACATCTGAGATCTCTGTATAGTATACACTTCTTTTTACCTCATTTTAGCCCATGAGAAAGAGCCCTGTTCAGCTGAGTAGGTCTGTGAGGAATTGCTCTTTCGTGTATTGGAGTGTCTGAGTAGCTGACCCTGAACTTTGCCCCTGGGCACTTGTCATACACCAGCCAGGTATCATCAAAAACTCCACTCAGACTGAAGTCCAGAGCAATTACCTTGCACAGTTGTCATGCTGGAGTAAAAACAAGAAAACCCAAAGGACTCTGGKGTATTTGCTCTGCATTTTTGGTTTGTTTGATTCTGATGCCTTTGAGCATTGGTAGAAAAGTTGATTCTGAGAGTCCTGATGCTCCTCRTTGTCTTATCTTGTGTAATTGTCAGGGATTTGCATTACTCAGTGTTTCTCTGGGTCTTGTTTTTCCAGCACCAGGTGCTGGCATATCTTTGATTCTTGGGTACACTTTTCTGTATTTTCGAGCTGTTTTACAATACATGTACTTTGCTTAAGGCTTGTAATTTAACTTGAGTAATTAGGAAATCTAAATGGTATCACACTGATGCTTTACCACTCTTTTGCTGGTCTAGTGAAGGCAGTGTGGGTTTTCTTCCTGCCTGATATTTGTAACTGCTATACAGGCACATGCTCGATGAAGTATTTGTTACTCTCTGTAATTAATGTGAGTTATCGTGGGCATTTTTGCTAAATTCTGCTGAAAGGTAGGTTAAGAAATTTAATCCCTCCTTAAAGCACAGATGCTCATAGAGYTAAGAATAAAATAGGAAAATCACCTAAATTGTAATGAACTGTGCTTATGTGATTGTTTAGAGGGGGTTGTGTTCAGAACAGACCTCCTGTACAAAAAGGCTGCTCCTCTGCCTTCTGAACMTTTTCCACAGAGGATCAGAAGAACCACAGGAGAGTCCTGATTCATGTTTTATTAATCCTGCCCTTGCAGTCTGAAGTAACTGGTGCTAGGACTGCATGGGTCTTGTAATGTGTATATGAATGTAAACCCTTCTGCAAACACACGGGAGAGAGAGCTTCAGATATTAGTCTGCCCAGTAGGAAGGGCACAGGAAGGATCCAAGTAATGKGGCCTGGAAAACATTTGGAAATACTTCAGGGGCACCCAGGTTATTCTTTAACACTTAAGACAAGAAAGGGATGACTCATTCCAGATGGTCTAAGCAGCCAAGAATCAGAGTTCAGCCATAAGGTTTTGTTTGGGAAGAAGGTCTGGAGGCATCATTATTTTTTAAAAATTCTATACTTGAAATAGCAATTAATTGACTCAGCTGTTGTCCTAGAGGTGCTAGTAAGGGTTAGAGCCAGCATCCTGCCAAACTGCASTCAGTTAGCTGGTAGGTGCTGGAAGCACCCTGCCACACTCCTAGCACAAAGCTGTGTGGCCACTGCTTTCCCTGGGTGTGAGGATTCAAGGGACACAGCTGAGCTGGGAGCAGCACTCAGTGGCTTTTATCTAAATTGTTACAGGCAGGTGCAGTTCATTGACTGATGAGAAATCAAGGGCAGTACAAATGAGTGTTGCTCTGTGAAAGTTACACTAAGATTCACAGCAGCTTTTAGCAGAGCTACTGTCAGCAGTTTTCACTSTGGGAGAGATAATCCTGCCTGGGCCTTCTCTTAAAGTTAAATAGTCAGAATAATTCAGTTTTTTTTTTAGCATTTGCTATTAAACTTCAGGAAAAGTGCATTTAGCGTGTGCTGTACCACCTGTAGAGTGTACAGGATTTGCTGTTGTTAAAGCCTGGATTTCTGGTTATGGCTTTATGCAGGTTGTGACAATGCTGAGAATGTGGCATGAAGTGACTGTTTCTCTGCTTACCTTGAATCCCCTTCTGTTTCCTGAGCCCCATGCACAGGGAATGCACAGCTCTTGTATTTAGGGTGATGATGTGGTTCCACAGCCCTGCCTGAGTGCCCGTGTGTAGCACTCTATTGAATGAAGTCTGTGGGTGGTGCCAAAGCAGTAGCARCCTCATTGGTGCCTGAGATATTTTGCAATTTCCAGGTCTGATGGTTTTTTTCCAAGTGTAGAGGCAGTGTGAAGAGAGGCACGCTTTCTTTTCCAGTAGTCACTGGGAGGTGACGTGTGCCAAGGTAAGCACAGTATATTTTTGAACAAAGTGCATCTGCAGTTCAATGCAGCTGATTTTCACCTAAGACCAGCTGAAGCCTTGCAGAAGCCTTGATTTCTGGGAGTCCGGAAGGCTGAAAAAAATCTCAGATCCCCAAATTTTTACCATGAAGAGTTCCAGAAATGTCTTCTATCTTCTCTTCTTTCATACTGGTAAGTGTCCTCCAAAAGCTTTTGCTATTGCATGGGACCTCTGTGTGAAGTGAGAAAGCAGAAGGAAACTAGAACCACTTCACAGTCAATCTCATATGGCCAGGAAAAGAACAGAGGGAAATAGTAGGAAAAGAGTAGAAAAGGCTGTATTGAACACCATGTGTATGTATCTTGACTCATTGGTGTCAAATGTTGTATTTCCAGCACTGAATCTATTTCTGCTCTAGTGGTGTCTTGTTTCTCACACCAGTGAGCAGTTTTATGACAGTTTGTAAAAATGGAAATAATTGCTATATTCCTCTTATCTGTGCAACGTTGGCTTTCTCCTGCCACTCCCAAATTGTAATGGTGAATGTTTTTAATTTCACCAAAGGTGTAGGTACTGTTTCTGAAGCACTCTTCAATTCTTCAGAAAGAAATGGTTCTAGTTTATTCTTCTTTCTTTTCCCATCATTTCTGTTGAAAGCTCTTGATAGTGTAGTAGTAGCTGTTTAAATAGCCATTTTATGTTACACAGTGTAGTACCAATAATTTGAGGAGTTATGGGATGTTTGTCAGTAATTGTTACATGTATATGTGTGTTTAGGGCTATGAGCATGTTTCAAGTGGAAGTTGTTAGTTTCTCCCCTTTCAAAGTTTATCTACTGATATACAGAGGGGCCAAAACTGAGAATAAACTTGAGTTCAGGCACTGACCTGATTCTTTAGGCTGGTTTTCCTTGGCAGTGGGAAGAGAGGCTCWCTGCAGGCCTTGTGTGTGCTCCAGCCCACTTAAGATGGGTTAACTTGTAAGGAAGGAGCCCAGATCTGACTTTCCTCTAACAACAAAATTCAGCAAATTGGAACGGGACCAATAACTACCTGTTTTTGATTAGTGAGGAAAAAAAAACCAGATTCACGCTGTTTCACTATTTTGGCTGAAATATAGAGGTGAATGAACTTTATGTTTCAGGTGTATGGCTAATGATTTCATCATGCAGTTCATGCTTTACCTCCTGTGTGTCTATATCTAAAATCAGAATGCTTAGACTGAAAAATGGCACTGATCATTCATACATACTGAGATGCTGACTCCCCAGTTTAATTTCTATTTGCTTATGTTTATTAAAAGAAAACCCCAAAACAAAAACCAGGATTCTTCTTCCAGTCCCAAGGAATTAATGGTGAAAATTCCCCTGGCAGAGGAGGTAGCACCAACGTTAAGTTTCTGTGTTTGCCATGACCTGTTATGCCTTTCTCCAAACCATCTTGGTTCTCAGAATTCCTGTGACTCAGAGGTGGGCAGTTGTTTCTCCCTCCACTGGCACACGCTGCCATGAAAACTTCCTGTAAGCTTTCCAAGTCTGACTTAATATTTGTTGACAGCAGTAGAGTTGCCTCTRTGTTGCAGGGGGACAGCAAGCCCAACCCACTATTTCAGTTTTGGATTTTTTGGCATCAACAGTCTTGTTTAGTCTGCAGCCACTAAGTCAGAAAATGTTCACGGAGCACTGTCGGTCACTAGCGGAGCAATTTTTAACTTGTGCTGTCAGATGTGGTGTCTCAGCTGCATGGCACTGGTGGGGAAGCAGAGGGCCAGTTAGAGGTATTAGAAAACCACATGATAAATGGTTTACAGCAGACTCCAGYTTCAAAATGGAAATTGTAGAAAAGCTGTGGAATGTTGTGTCCCCCGCTTACGAAAATGATCAGTGCCTGGTCGTTATTGTAACCCACGCGTGTGTTTCCATTTCACCGCACTGTCTGCGCACGATGACATCTCCTTACAAAAGCAAYCAAATGTTTGTAGCTTTGGCACTTAGGAGGGTGGCATTTGGGACCTCTGAAAGGCACCTTTCTTTACTAATTGATGGAAATCTCCACTACTAAACTTGAGTCTTTTCATTCATGACTCTGCCCTCCCCTTTTCATGACYGTGGTTACGATCTCTTATGAAAGACTGTTTTGAAGGGCCAAGTTTATTTTTCTAGTTTTCATAATAAGCCTAGTGGCAAGGCTTTTGAGCACCTAAGGTTGCTTTTTAGTTTCAGATCAAAAAAGCTGGGGCAGGACTTCAGGTACTAAATAGCAGAACTTGAGACAAGAGCTGTCTTTGGACAGGCTCTTTGGTTTTGCAGCGTATCATTTTAGTCATAATTTCCCATGCTTTTGACTTGATTAAGGTGATATATTCTTCAAGGTGTTTAGAACAGTCTGGATGTCCTGAACTATTCTAGGGTACTCATATTTCTTATGTCAGAAAACAAGTGCCTTTGGATTTCAGTATCTTAATCTGATCTTGTGGTCAGTCCAAAAAMACTTCAGTATTCATGTTAATCAGAATGAAAGTGGGAATCATCTCTAAGGATTTACTGCAAAGTGAGCCCTGAATTTTTTCTGTTTAGGGGGTAGAAGCTGAATGAAAGTTTGGCTCTTTGAGAGCTCCTAAATGGTAGAAAAGCACTGATGTGTTTTCTAATATTTTCTCTTGGTGTTGTGTTTGTAGCTCTCGGCCTGGAGCGTATCCGGTGGTGCACGGTGTCGGAGCAGGAGCTTTCCAAGTGTGATGGCATGAGCAAGGCGTTCAGTGAGGCTGGCATCCTTCCCCCTCTGGAGTGCAGGGCAGGGGGCTCTGCTGCCAACTGCACCCGGATGATCAAGGTGAGTGAGCTGTGGGTGACAGCAGTGTCATTAGTTTAATTTCTCCATGTGCCTGACAATGATCCACTGGCAGAGTGCACAGCTCTGTTGTGTCTGGCCATCCAGGCAGCTGACCCTCTGCTTCCTGGCATTCATGGCTCTGAAAAATCCAAACTTATATTTTTTAAAAAAAGACATTAAATTGTGCATATGAACCTGAATGTCAGTGGCCCCCTGTCATCTGTTTGGCTGCTCACATATGGCCAGTCATTAGGAACACARCAAAAGTCTTAAATATTTCCTCCCAAGTACTAATCTTTGATTTGGGACTTGTGTCAGATTAATTTAGCAGATATTTAAAAAGAGATGGAGCTACAAGATGCAGGCAGCAGTTAAAGCTGTGCTGCTTAGCCTCTAAGTAGATTGTATTTTGATAAACTCTGGATCAAACTCTCATTTCAGTGTCCTGCCATGGAAATTGCTGCATAAACAGATGAGCTGAATGTAATCAAATCAAATCTCCCGATACTGAGTACAAGAGAGGGGCAAAGCAGAAAATAGGGTGAGCAAAGGGCAAACCTCTGTATTAAGCTGAATTAATTCAGCTACCCAGAGTGTGCTCAGTTTCCAAAAAGAGCATGCCTCTGGGGAAGGTTTTAAAGATTGTGAGCATGTGGATGTATGCAAAATAATTTCCTCCTGAGGAGTGGGTAGGAAGTAAAAAGTGGATACTGGAAGAAGTGTGGAGGCAGGTAATCATGGTTGTCTTCACTGGCAGTGTSGGGGGAGGGAAGGCTGCCTGGCTGTTTTAATAAATAATGTTCTTTGTGTGTCCTCTGTAGATATATCTAAGAATCAGGTTTCTTTTTTGCTCTGTCAAGGACAAGAGGTTCAGATAAAGGAAAGGAGATCTGATAGAATAGTTTGAAGGGAGATGAGGCAAAATGATTGTGAGGCCAGAAAAAAAAGAAACAGATTTCAAAAACTGATATCTGGTAATTTTTGTCAGTRGAAGCAGAATGGTTGTCTGACTCCTAAAACTGTCTCACTGCCTCTTGATAAACACTATTCTTGAGCAAGGGRGTGAAGACTATATGGAGGAGTGCTGGGAGCAGATACTGATACAGATGTGGATCTTACCTKGGGATTAGACCAGACATTCTCAGGTCAGATCTTCCCAAAACCACTTGGCTGATTGCTGCATTGTACAGAGGAGCCTGTTAGATTCTGCAAAGCAGATTWTTMGGGCTGGTGAGGRTCTGCTTCTGAAATACAGAGCTCAYRGAATTGCAGTTRYAASCCTTTGGAAGTAGCAGGCAGGCAGACAGCGTGAGTGAGTTGTTTTCTGAAAAAATGGAATTTTCACTGTAAAGCTTCAGACAAGACTTTGTCCTTGAGACCTCTTTTTTTTTTTGTTATTCTTTGTGCTGATAATCTACTAAATATTCAAGCTGCCCTATTCTGTGTAGGAATGTGTGGAAGCCCTGAGTTGGCATCTGCACTGAACTCTGATCTTTGAGGCTGAGAAGGKAGCAGGACACAGTGACTGAAGAGGCAGAACTGTTTTGTAACCCTGCATAACTTGGACTTAGACCTGTGAATGTGTTAGCACAAGGATAGAGGAAAAAACCTTTTTGTTTGGAGGTGTGTAAAAATTAGGAAATACCTAAATCTTTAACTAGGGAACYTGGCAATATTTAATGTGACCAGAGCTGATTTTCAGCAGGTCTTTAAAACACTTRTGTTGGTAACTCTCAAATGTTGTGACACACAGAAATCAATTTCCTCGGAAAATAATGAAGAGTATTACCATCACATGTGTATTTACTAAAAAGTTGCTTGTGAGTCCCATGCTTCTGCTAATTTATTGGCCAATGCTTGCTGCAAAAAAAAAAAAAAAAAAAAATGCCCACACTGCTGTTGATAAGTCACCTCAGCAATTATTGGGTGTATTTAAAGGAGAGGTCTGTAGCCTGCAAACTAAGTCATGTTAAATACAACAATAGACTGGTTTTATTTTTTTGTTTGTTTGTTTTATTTATCAGAGGCTCTGTGGCTAAACAGAGCTCAAAGGTTCAGGCTTCCAATCAGAAAAGTGCTATTTCCTATGAAGATATGGTCATATAAATATTACAGCTTCTGTGGCCAGCCCTTTCCATTTTATCTGCTCCTATTTTCTGTGCACCACCAATTCTGGAAACTCATTTTGTTGTCCCTGAGGGTAAGATCCTTCTAACTCCCACCTCCTCTGCTGTCAGGTGTCCTTTCTGAACAACAAGTTATATTTGATTCCTAAACTGTTCTGTGCTCTTACCCTCACTAATGGAATATCATGTCTAGATACACATCTATCATTTCTAGTTACTCCAGAAAGAGGGACTAGATTGTGTCTGTTCTTTAAGATGCAAATATCTCCCAACTCCTCTTCAGGTTCCCTTGGATTTGTTCTGCTCCCATTGATGAGAAGCAACTCCCATGACATCCATTGTTTTGGCTAATTAATTAATATAATATTTTTTCTCCTTTGAGCCAATTAAAAGATTTCAAATTACATGGCAACTTCATACCTGATTTAGCTGTCAATATCAACATATTATCTGTGCTCTTACACGATCCCTTAAAAAATGTTCAAGCTCTTTATGTGTTCAGCCTGTGGTTCAGTTGCTGTGTTGTGCTAGGCAGTGTCCAAGCCTWGCCCTGACCCAAGGGATGGGGAAACTAAATTACCTCCTCCAGTACTGAGCCAGAGGTTAAACAAATGGATAAGAAACTTGGAATCAGCTTAGAAATGCAAAATGTCACACTGCTGACTATTTTCTCAGCGATACCCTGTGCGAAGTGCCCTCTCCTGGCTTCCACAGGTTCAGTGCACAGTGGGAGCTGGTTCTGCTGCCAGGGGGGCATGTGGCAGCTCCCCTGGCCTCATATGGGACATCCCATCCTGTGCTGGCCAGAGCAGGGGTAGCAGGATTCCAGCCAGCTTGGTGCTACAGTCAACAGAAAATATGTGGTGTTGTTGGGCACCTTCCGCAAATTGGATGCTTCAGATTTGTATTCCCCAATCTGAACAGTGTTTTTGAATGCTTTCCTCCATCTCAGGAACCCACTGCCACCTGCTGCCTGCTCCCTAAATGTGTGTCTGGCTGTGTGCTGAGCTACAAGCCAGCAGACTTTAAGGGTGCTTTGCAGTGCCCTTTGGCATTCAGATTTTGTAGCCCCAAAAGGTATTGTTTTGAACTTTCTGTGTCTGATCTCGAAAATGTGTTTACTTTATTTAAATCTTCAAGCTTTGGGGCACTAGCTACAGTGATGAATGAAACTTTAAATCACTTAAGATCCTGCACAGGGCTACAGCATCCATTTCTAAGGTTCCTTTGGACTATTAAGACTAGGAGGCCATCATGGTGCAGGGTTGGTTTTTCATTGTTTCTGAAGGAAAGCAGTTTCAGAGGTCTAAAGACCCTCTTGGTGTCTGCCATTCAGAAATTTGGGTGCCCTTAAAATTACTAGAAAAAAGAAAACACACAAATGCAGACTAAGGAGCCTCCTCTAAATGCATGGGCACTCCGGTTGTTGATAAATACTGATAATTAAGCTTTAACCCATATTCTGTCATTGTGTCTGCACAGGATGGCTTGGCAGATGCAGTGACCCTGGACGGCCGTTCRATTTTCCAGGCTGGAAGGGAGCATGGTCTGAAACCTGTGGTTGGGGAAGTATATGATCAAGGTATATTCTGACTAAATATCTTTTAGCTTACTTAAAATGCATGGGAAAAATCTTGTATTTACTGTTTGCATTTACTTTGGAGTCCTCTTGAAGACTTTAAACAGTAGGTAGTGGTCAGGTTCCCTCTTGCTGCCTGTAACAGACTGTTTGGGGAAACAGGAGACACAGGGCTGTGGCCAAGTCTGTCATGAAGCATTTGGGTCAGAATTGCTGCTCCTGTAATAACTATTTTTGGTTAGTTTTTGTTGGTGTTTTACTGTCTCTCTGCTTAATGTGTTCTCTGTTCCATACTTCTCAGATTAATGAATTGTAAAGCATAAATTACTTGGTTTATCTCTCAGTCTCATACATTAGAATAATTAGATTTTGTTTGTACTAGTGTATATAAGTACCTGCTAGAAGAAAGGATGTACTAGAATCTGCTCCTTGTTTGGGCAAACTTAATTTCTGAGTTCCTCTCAAGGTAGAGACATTTTTCACTCTGCTGTAACAAATTTAAGATCAACTGGGGAGTAAATTATATTGGTTTCAATTCAGTCCAAATATATTTAGAATAATAAACTTCTTCCAGCAAGGAACCTCCCTTTCAAAGCAGAGTGACCCTCAAAGTTAGAGCAGATTGCCTGTGGACTAAGACAATTCACACTGAAAAAATAATGGGCTACATTGAGTCACATTCAACAGGTTCTCCCCAAGATGTGAACAGTGACTTGCTTGTGGGTAAGGAAGTTACAAGAAGCCAAAAATCAATGTATTTCACTGAAATGCTGCTGTGAGACTACTTAGGTTGCTGATTTTTCTTCCCATGCTGCAGAGATTGGAGTTTCCTATTACGCCGTGGCTGCAGTAAAGAAGAGCTCCAACATCACCATCAACAGCTTGAGGGGTGTGCGCTCCTGTCACACCGGCATCAACAGGACTGCAGGCTGGGATGTGCCAGTGGGTTACCTCACTGCCACTGGGCACCTGGCACCCATGGCATGTGACCTTCCAAAAGGCAAGWGTTACAGGGCACAGAGCTGCTCTAACACAGTGCTTTCCMAATGGTCTTGGGACCCTGTGTGTGKGKGGGGGCAGAAATGTGAGATTCAGCTGCTGTTTTATTCTTTGATGCTCCTCCTATGATGGAATAGACCTGATGCAAGTCTGATGAAGACTGCARGGTTTTGGTTTTTTAGACTTGGAAACCATCTTTTAAGAAGAAAATAACTTGTGCCTTCTAAGACTTTTTAGAGATGTACTGTGTGGATGTGTTAAAATGAAATTGTAGGATCTTGTTTATTCGTTGCTAAAAATGTCTCATCCTAATTTTGCTTTTAGCTGTAAGTGACTATTTCAATGCAAGCTGTGTTCCTGGAGCAAATGGTGTGAACTACCCCAAATCCCTCTGTCAGCTCTGCAAAGGGGACTCAGAAGGACAGAACAAATGTGAACTAAATTCTCAAGAGCAATACTATGACTACAGTGGGGCTTTCAGGTAAAAATCATATCTTTGTCAATTTTTTTAGCAGTGTGCTCTCTCCATTGTCATCATGTTCAGGCCTCACTGACAGGAAATTGAAGCTACAGAGCTWGTGGTTGATCTTGTTAGGAAATCTGTAGTTTTGTTAGGATAGCCATGCTTTTAACCAGACTGAGMAAAAGTAATTCTTAACCCACTGTTTCAGGTTTCAACCCACTTGAATATTAAAACCAAATGGATATTTAGCACATATACTGGGCAGGGAAAGCCCACTGCTGTTTGCTTTGTCCAGCAGCTGTTGGCACAATCTGAGTGTTTCAGCAGGCTTTACTGACTTATCTTTCCCAGTAAAACCTGATGATCYTTGGAGCCTGAGAGCTGAACTGCTGCCCTACTTTTCTATTTCAGTCATCCCACCTCAGCTGCACTGAAATATCAAGTTGGTCTGCCCTCCATTTTTGYACACCAATCTTTCCCTTATTTTCTTCTTTCCCATCTGTGCTGTGTTGCAACTCCCAGTTCCCAGGTCACAGAATTAATGAGGACAGAACTTGCTTATGAGAAACACTTGCTCCTCACTGTGTATTCCCCAAAGGATTGTGTGAGTGCATTGGACACAGAAGTGTCCTGGACAAAGAAGGTCATGGTGTTTGTCCCAGGCAGCACTGAACATGTTGTTCATGTTCACCAAATGACAATGATAGTTTACTTCATGCTCTAACAGCCACTATTCTCTGCCTTGAGCAAAACTCGGAGCACAAGGAAATAGGTCAGTGTCTGTGGCTGATGGAAYGGAGCACAGAGCCCTCGGGCTGTCAGCCGGCAGTGGCCACAGCACGGGGCTTTTATAATGCATCTTTGTGGTTGGATTTATGTTTATTAGGTGTTTGGCTGAAAATGCTGGAGAGGTCGCTTTTGTGAAGCACAGCACAGTGCCTGAATATACGGATGGTGAGTAGTCCTGAAGCTGGTTGARTAATGGCTGCAAGATCTGAAATACAGCATCTGTAATGACAGCATAATAKCAAATGTTTGATGTATTTTGAATTGAGGAATTGGCAAAAAAGTGCTGTATTAGTGAAAACAGATGTACCTACTGAGATGTGCACTAGGAGATAGAGGAGATTTTTTAAAAGCTTGATAGTTTCAGTTAAGGTTAAAGGTGGAATCTTAAGCTACTTCTGGAAAGAGAGCTTCAACAGCACAAAACAGTTTTTATGCAGACCTGGGCTGTTCTATTGCTCCAGCCTGCCAAGGCATTCAGTGGAGAGTAGGAGAGAGTTAACCTGCCCTATCTGGCACAGTGTGAAAACTACCTTAGGCATAATACTGCTTTAATATAATGGATCTGTCGCACCCAGGGGAAAAAAACCCCCAAAAAATTGTGATCCTAAACTTAGGGATGCTCTTGATACTGCTGCAGACCCCAGTACAGCTCAGTGCAGTCTCACAAGTGTTACAGGACCAAAGGACCACAGAGATGCACAGGACATGCTGTGCAGTCAGGAGTAGTTCAGAAATGCTCAGGAGATGCGTGTTTTGCTCCACATGTCAGGCTTAGAYGGGGCTTGGAGCCAGAATCATCAGCCCCACCTGTCTGTTCCTTAAGCATGTCCTGTCGGATTTCAGGGAGAAGCTTTTCCTCMTGGGCCCAGCGGCTCCGCTCGCGGGATTTCCAGCTGCTGTGTCGCGATGGCAGGAGGGCTGAGGTGACCGAGTGGAGGAGCTGCCACCTGGCCCGAGTCCCTGCCCRGGCTGTGGTTGTGCGCCCTGACACAGATGGGACCGTTCTCTTCCGGCTCCTGAACCAAGGACAGGTAGGATACTGTTTCTTTGTCACTACTTTGTGTTTTAGAAGGATTCTCCCACCTGTCTAACCAAACTGAAAACAGGATATGTGGGCACCTTTGGCTCTGTGGGGATTGAAGGGCTATGGAATGTCACACATCCCAGACAGAGGGATGTGTGACAGGTGCTTCTTTCTTCTTTAACATTACAGCGAAGATTTAATGGGGTGGGYGCCAAGTTTCAGATGTTTGACTCTRCAGCCTACGGTGCCCAAAATCTTCTGTTCCGAGATGCCACCACAGAGCTGGTTGCAATCACAGCTCAGAATTACCAGGCATGGCTGGGTGATGAGTTTCTTCGTGCCATGGAAGCTCTGAGCTGCAACCCCAACAGTAAGTTGTCTGTAGATTCCTATTTATAATCAAGAAAAAAAAAAACAGCTGATAACACAGATCGTCTTGATTCTGCTATATTTTCATCTCACTCTTGGAGGGTTATGGCAASATGCCAATCTGATCATTGAGCATGGGCAAAGGTTGCTTTTTGACCTAGAAACAGTATTGCATTGCAGAACATTGTCCTGTGCAAATTGGCCCACTTTGTTATAAGATGCAGGCACTTTCTGCCCTTTCTGGTGTACGAGATACATTAATCTGGTAAACTGCTACTGCTACCTGGTACTTAATTTCTTACCTGCTGACAAGGGGAAATAATAATGTGCTGCTGCACAAATCCTCAGGTAGTCTATAAAATTGGTTGAAAGGGTTCCTAGCAGAGGATTTCCTCCATAAGCTGAAGGAATCCTTAATTGTTTTTTACTGAAGCTTTACAGTCTTTTATGCTATCAGAAGAAAGTAGACATTTTTTAATACGCATTCTGGGAAAGTCAGAAACACACATTGTAAAAATCCTAGGCTTAAGAAGCTTAATAATCCTGGCAACTGAGCCTCCCTGTGGCAATGGCCCTCACTTTCCTGACTTGTCTCTTTTGGTGTGAGGAAGCCYGAGTTGCCTTTTTTCTGCCCTCCACTAACACATTATGGCTGGGCTTAATGGTCAGTAATTGTAGGAATTGTTGTTCCTTTGCTGTGGGGAGGTTTGCAGGGTGGACRTAACTGCTAATCTGGGAGTGCCCTGGTTCCTGCTCAGGTGTAAGTTTGAGCTGAAGGRATGGGGAGCAACACAGAAACAAACATTTTCAATAACATGTGTGGGACACATGTGACAGTGGGCAGTATGATCCCTCCATGTCTATCGCAAAGAAAATGAATGTAGGATTTGCTTTTCACCTTTGTGCAGCAYTGCCAGAAAGCCTGAACTGGTGTGTTGTATCCACTGAGGAGATTTGGAAATGTGGTGAAATGGCTGTTGCCTTTAGAAAAAAGAACTTGAAGCCAGCAGTTCAGTGTATTTCAGCAAAGACAAAGGAAGAGTGCATGGAGCTGATTCAGGTAGGCTGCTACAATCCTTGTGCCATAAACCAAATGAACAGAAGCTGCTCTCTGCTGTGTAGGCAGGCTTAGATATGTGCCCTCACTTAAGTGACCAGTAGGAACACTGGATTTCAAGGGGATGATCTGCAGCTCACATAGTCTAGATGAGCTTGAGCCCTGATGATCTTTGGCTGTGATGAGGGCACTATTTCCCATCTAACTCAAGCCTGTGTGTGTGAAATCTCCCATCCTTGTTTCACTGATGATGCTTTATGCACATTTTAGAAGTTCTCTTTCGCAGTGTGATGCTCTWGTGCTGTAAGCCTTGCCCTTCAAGGTACCACAGGTGTGACCATAAAGGTGTCATCATTGTAGCAGGTAAAGTGTCTGCTAGGTTTTTTCACAGAAATTCCATATTTTCTTTTATTTTTCAGAAAAAGGAAAGTCATGCTGTAGTTCTGGGTGGAGCTGATATTTACACAGCTGGGAAGACATATGGCCTTGTACCAGCTGCTGGAGAAAGTTACTCTGGTAAGAAGGTCCAGAAACTTAAATTCTGACCTTATTTTTCCATGTGTTTTAAAAACAGCAGTAAAAGCTCAGCCCTTTGTTCCAGCCCTTCTGGGAAAGCCGTTTTCAAAGGAAATAAGAATTATTACCGTTACATCATGAATAGAGGAGGGCATGAGATGAACTTCTACCATGAGGCAACTTGTCTGTCCTGCAGAACTGTTCAAAGTTTCAATGCAGGYTTGAAGTTCTCACGTAAAAAATAACTTCTTGAAGCAGATTTGCTATAAGTTTCTTATGCCCCAAACACTGTTTTTCAGAGGRATGTATTTATAAGAGCTGGTGGTAGCAAGAACACTTTGATCAACTTGTCTGTAGATTATTCAGCTCAGATGTGTAGCAGTAGCAGCTCACAGACCATAGGTGAACGCAGCAGTGGGAGGCAGAAGTGTAATTACATGCACACCCATTCTCCCTGATTAGGAGATTGTTGGTGCAATGAAGCTGCCACCAGATAAGTGTAATGGAATCATATATGATCACTAAGCTGTGGTAATGCTTAAGGGAAACTGTAATGTGTTGTGGTTTGTTTTTTTCTCTACAAGCTGATGACAACAGCAACGCGTACTACGCTGTGGTATTGGTGAAACGAAATGCATCCAATGCATTCACCATCACTGACCTGAGAGGGAAGAAGTCCTGCCACACTGGACTGGGGAGAAATGCTGGATGGAATATTCCCATTGGTGTACTAATTAAGAGGGGGATTATTAGGAACAGAGACTGTAATATTCCTCAAGGTAAGACAACAGTTGTATCTGCCTTTTTTTGTGAAGAGCCTGCACTTTTCTCTCCTTACGTTGGTTTTGTCTTTCCCYAGCTGTGAGTGAGTTTTTCTCTGCCAGCTGTGTGCCCTCAGCTGAGCAGGAGGATTACCCAGCAAAACTCTGTCAGTTGTGTATTGGAGATGAGAGTGGAAACAACAAATGCAGTGCAAGTGATCAAGAACGTTATTACGGCTACAGYGGAGCCTTCAGGTAACTGATACTGATGGTTGTGGTTTGATGTGTCAGCCTGGCAAGCACAAGGAGCACCTGGTTTCCATCCCAGCCAGCAAACACAGGTTATTTTTGCTAAGGCAGGTGCTGTAAATGGGGTAGGATGTGTGTCCCCAGATGCTCTCAATAATGCAGGAATGGTGTAAGGCATTACTGATAAGGCATCATGTCACAGCCTTTGCCAGTGTCCTTGCACACAGCCAGGTGACCAACAGCCCAACACACATGCCTGTACACAGAACATCCACCTTGTGAGGGCCAAGAGGATCCTTGTTGGTCTCCACTCTCACTTCAATCTAGTGGGACAGATAGTCCACCACTCTGGATGGGCAGGGAAGGAGGCACACAATAGCCAGGAGCTGGCTGCTCTAAGTCCCTGCAGATAGTGACAGGGGAGCCTGGCRTGTGTCTTCTCTACTCTGATTCATTGGTGGCTGTATCTCAAGGTAGATTTCTGAACAGCGCAAACAGCTATGGCCAGTGCTGCAAAACAAAGTATGTTAAAATAGTATAAAATGGAATAAATACTTCATGTACCAGCGCACATGTACTTAGGGGGCCATACCCAAGGGCTGTGAAACTCTCAGATGTGGAATAAGCGCTTCCTTTTCCTGACCTTCACCTTGGAAGGCAATGGTGGCTCTAACAGCTGGCAGAAAGCTGCCTTTTTCCTTCCTGGGAGCAGCTTCAACAGCAGCTGCCTGGTAAATAAAGTGCTAGACTTAGATAACTACTTTTTGCAAATCTCTTTAGCTGAGTCCAGCTGCTCTGCTGGGTACATGCCTTGCAGGCAAACTCCAGATCCTCTGCTGTACTTCATGGATTCACAGAGCCAGCTCCCAGTCACCAGATGAATGAGCAACAAATGCTGTTACAGGCTGCATGAGCCTTGCACATCATTCTAAGGTTGTGCAATTGATAATAGTGCCCATACAGACAAACTTTATATAGAGACAACTTTTTGTTTTTAATAGAGAAGGTGCTTAATTTATTAAGKGACGAGGGAAATTTTAAGTATTTAAAAGGGTTGAATTTGGGTGAAAAACTGGAGGATCACAGTCTTCTACAGCAGAACTAGGTGCAGGTTTGGCTGTGATACTTGGTGATCCTCTCTGAAAGAAGAATCAGTTATGGAAGGTGATTGAGATGAACTTAAAATTCAGCCTCAGATTTCCAGATTCCTTCARCTCTGGCTATCTTCAGACTAACTTGGCTAGAGATGTGAGAAGCCATTCAGTTTGTGTACATCCCAGTGCCTGGGGCAAATTAAACTGCACAGAGTAGTGGGAAATCTGTCAGGAACAGCTGCTTCTGATGGGGACATGCACCATTGAGTCCTTGTTCTCTGCAAGACAGTGTCAACCATAACATGAAAAGACCTTTGATTAGAACAACTGATTTTAAACCAGGTGCAATTGAAATATATGTATTTTTGGAAACTGTTACCAGTAATAATTTTCCCTTGCATTTTGTACTGCATAAACTATGCACAGTTACAGCTTTACATCTGTTTCATTGGTGCATTTAATTATTTTGTTTGAGGAAATGCTTCTTGAAAACACTTCTAGAATAAGCTACACAGGACAGGAGGTGGTTTTTTTGGCATGTCTGGCTGCTTCTGCTTCAAAATARTAGAGAAAAATGAACTTAGTTCTGGAACAGTACCCTTAGAAATWGCAGTTAGATTAATTAGAGATCTCCAATATACAAGGCTGCAAATGCTGCACTGAGTATCRCATAATAGATCTTCTGTTTCTTTACTCATCTAATACTGATATGTTTTGTTGTTCTTCACACTGCTTTTAATAATTTTTTTTACTCTATTCCACTCTTGAAATTTGTAATTAAGAATATTTTTTTATATATTTTGCAAAGATGTTGCTTTTCTCTTCATCCAAGATCCTTAATTTCTGCTTTTTCTTATCAACCTTGCGTCCAGTGCATTTGCTTGCAGGAATGCTGTCAAAAAATGCATTTTAAACCTATGAGTTATCAAAAAAATGTGGTTCATAAAGATGCTTTGAATTGAATTTATATATTTGACTTCCTTTAGGTGCCTGGCAGAGGATTCTGGGGATGTGGCCTTTGTGAAGCACTCAACAGTATTTGAGAACACAGATGGTACTTAGTTTTACTCTTTATTATAATTCAGTTGTTTTCCCTTGCTCTAAAGCATTCATTGATTTACAATGCCCAGTTTCTTTTTTTCAGGTAAAAACACTGCTAGTTGGGCTCAAAAGTTGAAGTCTAGTGATTTCCAGTTACTGTGTCCYAATGGTGCCCGTGCTGAAGTCACCCAGTTTGCTGGTTGTCACCTGGCTCAGGTGCCATCTCAGGCCATTATGGTCCACCCAGATGTCAATGTTTTTGCTATATATGGACTACTGGACAGAGCCCAGGTACTAATAATCCATTTATTTTGGGGAGTCTAACACATATCCAAGGATAAAGACAACAGGACYATATAATGCGTTTTGGCACTGGCAGCATGTGCACTGTGTAAAATCTAACCCATGTAACTCATCCAGTAAAATAACTCTGGTGCACAAGGGATTTCAACTTTTTGCCCAGCCACTGGCTGTAGTAGTAGTTTTYCTGGAACTTAAGGTGTTTTCCCATGGTGTTCCCCTGTTTCTGCCTCTCTTGGAGGTCTACAAGAGATAGAGTACATGCTAACAATTTTCCATTCTGGAATTTTCCTTGGAATGCCAATAGAATGTTGCTGGGTATGTTTATGCTGCAGCCAGGTATGTGGTAAAACATGCAGCCTCTCCATTCTGAAGTTAATTAGTTCAGAAGCAATACTGAGCATTATCTCTGTGCTAGGCTTCAGTCCTGTCTTTGACTCCTGGGCAGCAAAACCCTGTATTGCATAACAGTATTTAGGCAGGAGAACTTTTTTTTTAAAACTACAGCTCTTTTTCCAGCTAGTAACTAAAAAAAAACAAAATCACAAATGCTGCTCTTGTAATTGCCAGTGGCAGAATTCTGTAGCTGATCTACTGGAGCATCTAAAAGCAAACACATAAAAGAGATTCTGCAATTGTTTATGAATTTTTCATCTACAAAACGGTTCCTGTCATCTTTCATGTTGTATGAGAAGAACATGACACTTCATCTTGCCAAATACTGAGAATTTTTTATTATTTTCAGGTCTACTTTGGAAATAGCAGCAATGGAAATGGATTCAAAATGTTTGATTCTTCAGCTTTYCAGGGAAAAGACTTGATTTTTAAGGACTCTGCTACAGAGATTGTGCCAGTAGGAGAGAGGAGAACATATACAGAATGGCTCGGGAGTGAATATATTGAGGCCCTCGAGGGGATGCAAACACCTCAGTGCTCTGGGGCAGGTGACAAGACAACACAATTCTCACTCACGGCTACTGTCATCCCCCTGCTTGTTTTATGTCAGATACAAGGCTTGGACTAGCACGGTCCAAATGGCAACTTCCAGGCCACTTCTGCCCTGCCACCCTCTCTTCAGAAAAGCTGCTGTGTGTAAAATGTGCTATGCTACCATGTGAATGCCTCTTCCTGCCTCTTTGCAGGGCAAGTGCCAACACCATCTGCTCACCAGGGAGTAGGGTAGGGTTGAAAGCTGCCCCTGTCTGTATGGATGGGGTGGAATTTGTGGCAGAAATCAGCAATACAGTAYCAACATGGTTTACAAGATCAGTCTAAAACGGGAGCGTTTCTGCCATCATTGCTAATATTGAACCACCCAGGAKTTCCAAGAAGTGTTAGATGGATACTGGGTTTCTGACCTGTAGAAGAATTTCCTGGAAGGCAATATCAAAWGTCTTGTCTAGTGAATCCTCTCTCTAGTGGCCTCCTGGCTGGTTATGTTCACACTCCACATCCCTGCTTTACCCATCCTACCCAGTTTCTCCTGAGCTCTGCTGCCATAGAGGTAAGTACACAGAGAATGGATAGGCTGTGGAGAAGCCAGTCCAGAATACAGCTTCTGTCATGGACAAAGTCTTCTACCTTCCAGCAGAAGAAAGTAGGACAAATTTCCAAACCCACTGGAAAAGAAGCCCAGAGAGACTGGAAGGGGGACTACCCTTTGACAGAGAAAAGAACAAAGCCAAATGTGAGCATCCACTGAGCTTACTGACTTTCCATACCCAGTGCTCTCAGGGCTGGACAGAGATGTCCTGTCACCTTTAATTTGGTGCAGCCTTCATCAAGAACCTCACGGCTGTCCTCCTTCCACACAGAGCTATCCTGAGTGCCTGGGCATGAAACTTGTATTTGCTGTAGGTGAAACAAAGTACTTTACTTCTGAGTAGCCATTTCTACTGGCTGTAGCATTCAGGTTTTATTTTTATTCATAGCTGCACTAACCACAAATGTTGCTGTGCTGCTGGCAGGCACTGTCCTCCTTACTGTAGAGACCATGTCATGATTCTGGGATGAACAGACATTTGGTATAATAAAAATGTGATAAATCCAGATAATAATCATGTAAATAAGTTAAAATAACAAATAAACATGAAACGTAATTACCCTTTAACCAGACTCCAGCCTGGTAGCCAAATTACTGCTTTTCTGGACATGAACATTTATTTGCTTTTCCCCTTCACTGCCCACTGTTCATTGTTCYCACTTACTGGGGCTGGAGCAGGACACAGACTGATGCCAGCCCAGGCTGTGCCCAGTGGGGTGTGTGTGTGTGGAGGGAGCAGTGATGCTGTGCCCAGCACTCAAACCATGACTGCTGGCAAGCTGTGCCCAGCTGTGGTCACTGCTGTGTTTCTTCTTTTGCCTTTGGTCAGTTACAAAACAGCGGCTGAATTTTGTGTGTCCAGGTGGGCAGCAGGASCAGGGCAGGGATTGTCCCCCTGCACTTGGCAATGGTGAGGCCACGCCTTGAGTGCTGTGTCCACTTTTGGGCCCCTCAGTTCTGGAAGGAAATTGGGGTGCTGGGATGTACCCAGAGAAGGGTTTGGAGCACAAGTCCCATTAGGAGCGGCTGAGGAAGGTGGAGCTATTTAGCCTGGAGGAGGCTCCAGGAGGATATGGCTCTAAAACCATATCCCGCTCTAAAACTCCTTGACAGGAGGGTGTAACCTGGTGGAGGTCGGGCTCTTCTCCCAGGCAGTGCCAGGATGAGARAACGTATTCATAGAACTCTTAAAACTCTGCCAGGGGCAGTTCAGGTTGGAGGATCTCACAGAAAGGGTGATTACCCATTGGAATGGGCTGCCCGGGAGGTGGTGGAGTCACTGTCCRTGGAGGTATTTAAGAAGAGCCTGGCTGTGGCGCTCCGTGACAGGCTGACACGGCGGTGTCGGGCCGGGTGGAACCCGCTGATCCGCGCTCCGTTCCAGCCCCATTGATCCGGCATTCGCCCCTCAGCCCGGGGGGCGCTGCGCATGCGCGCCGGGCTCCCGCTGCGGCGCCTCAGCCGCGGGCCGCGCGCCCCCTGGCGGTGCAGCGTGAGGGGCCGGGGCCGCCATGGCCATGGTGGCGCGGGCGCTGTGGGCGCTGCTGGCGGCGCTGCGGGCGGGCTGGTGCCTCCTGCCGCAGAGCGGCTACCTGCACCCCGATGAGTTCTTCCAGGCACCCGAGGTGATGGCAGGTGAGGCGTGCGGCCGGGACGGGGCTGACCCCCGCGAGCTGGAGGCGACGCGAAGGGGCGCGGGCACGGGCATGGTGTCCCGCATCGGCGGCCAGGCGGGTGTTCCAGAGGGATCCCGCTCGGGGACACCGCGAGTCCCGCAAGCCGGGCAGGAGCGGATCCGCAGGGCTCGCCGGGTGGGTGGGTTCCTGCTCTGTGCTGTCCACAGCCGGTGGCGCCTCGAACCACGGGACCGTGACAGGCTTCTTGATGCTTTGTGAAAACGAATGGCACACTCCTAGAACTCCTAAAAATCGTGTCAAGGTTGACACCAGTCTCAAAAGTTTAGAAGCTGCTCGATATTGTGATGCCTCTTATACCAAGTAGCATCCCTAATACTGAATTATTGAATAAAATATATTTTCTATGTATGTATTTTTTTCTTCCTTTGTAGGAGATATTTTAAACCTACAGGTCTATTATCCATGGGAGTTCCTTTCCAGCTCTCCTTGCAGAACAGTTGTTTTCCCATTAATGACATCAGGAGTTACKTACTGGGTGATCAAGTCTTTGCAGCAGTTGGACATATGTTCAAGTTGCATCAACAGCTACACTCTTCTTGTATCTCCTCGCCTGCTCTTTACAATCTTTTCTTTCATACTCGACTATAGTGTTTATCGATTAGCCCCTTTCTGGGGAGCAGATCCGTGGAAAGCGCTGGTACTTCTTGCTGGATCATACGTCACTCTGGTGTTTTATACAAGAACGTTTACCAACACGCTTGAAGGACTYCTCTTTGCTCTTCTCATGGTACTGGTTTCTTCAACAAAGTCCAGTGGCAGCTCAGCAGAGCCTACAAGCAGCTCTCTCATAGGTGTCATAACAACTGCTGGGTTTTTCAACAGGCCAACCTTTCTGGCATTTGCTCTAATGCCCCTGCTTTACTGGGCCAGTTTAATAGTTGACTCTCAAAAGAGCATTAAAACTCTCATAAACCACTTTTTGAAGCTTATCCTATGYGCATGTTTTACTGCTATTGTCTTCATAACTGCTGACACTTTCTATTTTACTTCTGTGAGCTTAGACAACCTCTACAGCACTAACCAGAGCAGCCTAATTGATGTAATATCTCAATTACATGAGAAAATGATAGTAACCCCCTTCAATTTTCTCAGCTATAATCTTAATCCTCATAATCTTGCACTGCATGGAAGTCACCCACGAGTTACACATTTTACAGTCAATGGAGTAATGCTGTTTGGRATCTTACATATTATGGCCGTTAGTGCTGGCTTTAGAATGCTAAAGAAATATGTCCATCAATTAATGCAGGTCAGATGGTGTTACCATGGGCTGCCTGCACTGTTGGTGCATTCTGAGGGCAGTTCAACATTGCTGCTGTTTTATTTTGTTCCTTTGGCATTTCTCTCCCTATTCAGTCACCAGGAGCCTCGATTTCTCATTCCTCTCATCCTGCCATTGGTCCTGTTCAGCGCGTCACCGAACAGAACTGTGAAATGGAAATTCCTCATTGTTCTCTTCAATCTTCTGGGGGCACTTCTGTTCGGGTGCTTACAYCAGGGAGGGCTGATTCCCTGTTTGTTTCATTTGGAGCAACTCATCCATTCCCCAGCGTCCACAAGCCATCCAAGGCACTACACACTACTCTTTGCTCACACCTACATGCCTCCAAGGTCTCTGCTTAATATCAAGAAGACAGAAATGCATGTGGAAGTCATCGACATGGCTGGGTCTGGAGAAGAAACCCTCTGCCGGACAGTAGAACAGCAAGCAAGCAATTTTACCTGCAGTGACTGTCACATCTTTATTATAATCCCTGGTACAGTCAGAGCCACAATTACAAAATGTGGTGTCTCACTGAAGAATGAGACTTTGATATTTCCACATTTATCAATGGAGGACCCACCAGAAATACCCATCCTATCCAGTGGAAATTGGAGAAGTCAATTAGGMCTTTACATCCTTGAGCTAGAGAGAGATCATCAGAGCCTGTAGCTTTTAGAACAATGTTTTAGTTTTGTACTTCATTTGGGTGCTGTCTGAAGGTGCTGTGAGRCCTTCCTCTTCACACATTCCCCTTTCAGCACTGGCAGTGGCACTGGGAGCTCTCCCATGTCTCTTTATTCCCGTTCCTCATGCTCTTAGTGTAGCCAGTTCTGGATAGAACCTGCTTGAAATTTTACTTACTCAGCCCTGTGGTGTTTCATATGAACTTCTGTAATTTTCCTGATGAGAGAGGATGACATCAGAGCCTACCAAAACTGTGAYTGAAGCTTAGCTATTTCCATGTGAGATTTATTTTTAAAAGCTCTTATAATCTCTGACAGGGTTTGGGGTGTTTACTGATAATAGGCATTAACTCAGCCTCTGAAGAAAGGTTACAAAGCTGGTCTGATTCAGTAAGCTTTTATGTTCTTAAAAATTCATTAGACCATACTGCACTAGAGTACAGGCACCAGCACTGTACCACTGCCTTGGGTGGGTCCGTCTTGAAAAATCCCAGCACTGATCTGGCAGAATCTGATTTAGAACATGGAWGATGCTTCAGCCTAAGTACTTGTGCTAAATCCTAAAATCCAAGCTTTGCCTGTTTAGCCTCTCTTGCCACAGTTCCATCCTTGTCAGCGTGCTCGCCACGTACCGCCCCCAGCAGCTTGGGAGGGCAGTGCTGTGATGGCATTAAGCGTGTCCAGTGTTCTGCAGCTGCAGCTYGGGCACTCCTTCCCTCGAATGCTCCCACCACATGTCTCAGCTGTCACTGCTCTGTCATTACTGTCACCCCGACAGAGAACACAGCAGGTCCTGCAGGAGCTGGATTGAGGAGCTGCGCAGACAGGAAGTGGGTAACTCGGAGGGATTTGGTCCTTTGTGTCAAAGGTTCAATTAATGGGCTCGCCACAGGGTCAAATATCCCCCAGTTCTGCTGCTGTGGAGTGGGGGCASCACCGAGGGAGGAGCTGCATCCCCTGCGCCCCCTCCCCTTGCAGTAACTGCTCCCCATTAAATCAGCTCAGTGGGAATGACAGGTCATATCCAGGCTCTCCACTGGAGTGCAGTCTCATTTTAAACTGGATACCAACAACTGGACTTCAGCTGACAGTGRTGTATATGCTCAATAGCACAGCATGGCCTACAATCTTTGTTTTGCCTACAAGAACTTCAGGATCCAAAACATCCTGAATTGGCACATGCATTGTAGATCAAGCCTCTCTCTATGAAACGAATCTGACACTTAAATTATTTCTGCTCACAAAGGTGGTAATGCTTTTGGCAGTTCTTCACCCACACAACCTTATATAAGGTCTTCAGAGACAAGTTTTCAACAGAGACAAGAATAATATAGGTTGATGCCAGGCTCTAAAGAGAGGCTTGGAAAAATGAACGTGTTAAGCATTTGCCTGTATTTTCCAAGCTATAGGTATGACCTAGATGTTTAGGGACCATAGCTCTTGTTCTTTGTAAAGCATTTTGTGTTGCATTCCCTGTATGTTCATCCCACAGCCTTCACTCCTCATKGCTGACCTGCCTGTAAATTAAATATGTGTGTTTGGGGGGAGGCAGGGGGAGAAGAGGTGCCTGTCTGTTTGTACTRGTGACTCACAATGTATTGTTMAGTAGTTGTGCAAGCATTGTGACAACAAATGTATTTTCCAAGTTAATTTCCTTTTTGCTGTCTTACACTAGAATAACAATTGTGCCACAGCTGGTACTCCATGTCCTGCTTCTCATTTTCAGCTTTCTTAAACAACTTAAATCTTGAAAGGTATTTTCATACAACTTATGAATTCTGGCAGCAGTCTGAGTGGTAGACATTGAAACTCTTCAGGGGCGTAATGAAGCACCATTCCCATGGGATGATAACTTCACCACCACTGCACAGGTAACCTKCAGGGAGCCAGCAAGAGAACCTGCACTACAAATATGAGCTCAGATTGTCAATATACTGCTTTTCTATCCCCAGCCAGGCCTTTGTAGTTTACCCTGTACATGCAATTTCTCCATCCATGCACATCTGTCTTTGTTGGTGAAGGTGTCATTCTACCAGCAATGCTGGAAACTGTATGTCAAGACAACACAGGAGGTTCTTCTCACCTGGGATGATACAAGGAATGGAAGTGATCCTCCCCACTTAACTGAGTCTCTACTCAGCTGGATCAAAGAGTGAAACATGCTCTGAAGGARGGTTAACTGCTTTAGTGTCATAGAGGTCATCAAGATACAGCATCTTAAGCAAACCTGCCCAGTGCATCACACATGATGAGTGCATCCTTTTCCATTATAAACTTTTTTTTTTTTCCATTTAATTTAGAGTTGCTTTATTGGTCATTTTTTTCCCTGCAAACCTTTCTTGCTATGATAGACTTGAGGTGTGCTTTTAGTACAGCTACTGAATCTCATTTACCTTCCCGTCTATTATCCTAACCATCATCAACACTTCAAGCCTTTTTTGTAGCAAAATTGTATCAAATATAGAGTACTACTGCTGTATAGATAGGCATTGTTACAGGTACTCCCATGAGAATTGTGATTTTATTTCAAGTTTATCAAGCACTTAAAGTGACAATCTTCACAGCGACAAGATTCACATCTTCTGCGGATGATTATAACGTGAGTCTRTTTGTTCCTGACAACCGTGGAAAGCGTATATTGGCTTTGAAATGGAAATCCATCACACCGATGAGGARCAGCTTCCCGTGTTCCTGCTTTCGCGAGGAGTCGCTCCAGGCCATGCGATATGRAACGCACCGTCCAGTCCGCTGCTCGCCATCTACAGCCCGGGCGCCGCTGGGGTCCGGAGCGGCTACCGGGGCCCCGCTGTCACCAGCCCGGGCCCATTCACCCGCCGGCTCCAACGCGCTCCGTGTGCTGGTGCGCTCGGCGCAGGGAAGCGGCGGCGGCTCCCATCTCCTCCCCGGCGCTGTCCGCGGCTGACTCCCCCCGCTCGAATCGGTGATCACGGCGCTGACCCGGGACGGCCTCCGCGGCCCGGCCCGCGCGGCCACGGCCACCCCCGCGCTCGGGCGCCGTCCTTGAGCTCGGCGAGGAAGGCGTCGCGCAGGCGAAGCAGGCGCGGGGCCAGGTCGCGCTGGCCGCGGGTGAGGGCGGCGGCAGTGACCCGAGCGGCGGCGCGGATGGGCCGCGACTCCGAGAGGCGCTCCACGAGCCGCGGGCTGGAGAGCAGCAGCAGCAGCGCCCGCAGCAGCGCCATGGCCGCCGCTCCCGCGAGAGGTGGCGCCCCCGCCCCGCCCCGCCCCGCCGCGCTCGCGAGAGCCGCGCACCGCCGCGCCATTGGCCGCGGGTGTGGAGGGGCAGGGCGCGTGCGCGGGGCGCGGGAAGGCGCCGTGGGGCGGCGGGGCCGGGCGGTGTCGGGCGGTGTCGGTCCGTTCTGGGCCCGGGAGGAACGAGCGGGGCTCTGCTGGGTTGGGCTGGCCTCGGCCGGGACGGGCAGCGTCGCTATGAGCTCCGGCGGGACCCTGAGTATCCTGCGCAGCGACTCCTACGCCGAACTCAGCCAGTACCGGGACCAGCATTTCCGGGTGAGCTGCGGCAGGGTTGGGCGCCGCGGGGTCCGGCCGGGCCGGGCTGGGGGTAACGCTGTGTTCTTGCGGCCCAGGGAACGCGGTACGACCAGGAGCGGCTGCTGAGGAAAAGCTGCACGCTCTACGTGGGGAACCTCTCCTTCTACACCACGGAGGAGCAGATCCACGAGCTCTTCGGCAAGAGCGGCGACATCAAGAAGGTCATCATGGGGCTGGACAAAGTGAAGAAAACCGCCTGCGGCTTCTGCTTCGTGGAGTATCCTTATGCGAGGCGGCAGGAGTGGTCAGGGTGTGGGTGACCTGCTCTGCAGGCTCTGAGTCACAGGAGAGTTCTCTGAGGATAATATTGTTTGCTAAAGTGTCTATGGGCGACCCTGGCGAGAGAGGGCAGTGCTGGGCTTACGGTTGGACTTGATGATCTTACAGGTCTTTTCCTATCTTGATTCTGTGATTCGAACATACGCTGYATGTCAGCGGGGTTAATGGGTTGCTTTCACTGTGATGCTTTAATGTAGACATCTCTTAGGTAGTTGTCCTCTGCAGTGAATTCATATTCTCCTTGGCCGGGTAAAAAGGCCTTTCTTTTTGTACAGACATACATGTAAAGTTTCTGTTGGCATCTTTCATTCCTGTTATGTGACTTCATTACCTGCACGTCTCTGAGTATCATTCTGTTGCTGGTTCAAGTGAGCTCATCAGAATGRAGAAAGTTTGTAGCATGAACAGACCATGCCTGGGACATCTCACTGTTTAGCAATAGAGCTATGTGCTGTTAAATGTCAGAATGGTTGACATCTTGAATTCTTGAACGTTCCTCTATTTCATTAGTAATTTTCTCAGCTGGTGTAGCTTCGTAAAAGTGGTTGCTTTTAGAAGTAACTGAGCAGGAACCTGGTTCAAGCAATGACTTGGTTTTGTAGCCCATTTGATATTGTTGTTTTTTCCATGTGATGAAAACACATGTGATGAAAAAAGATCCATTTTTTTCATTAACCTATTCGTAAGGTATTATGCCAGAGGAGATGCTGAAAATGCAATGCGATACATCAATGGAACCAGACTTGATGACAGGATCATAAGGACAGACTGGGATGCAGGATTTAARGAGGGTAGGCAGTATGGCCGTGGAAGATCAGGGGGACAGGTAGGTTATTGTACAGCCTTGGGTTTTAAAGGACTGGTGACTTTGGTTTTGAATGAACACAAAACAATTTCAGAAAGAGCAACTTRGAAGTCATTGTTTAAGATAACACTGAAAGACATCTAATCAATGATAGTGTAATCCACTAAGAATAAATAACTCTTTTGTCTGTTTGACTGAAGGTACTTGCAGAAACATGTCTTGGCTGCATGGGGAGATAATGCTCATAAGTAAGCCCAGAAAATGTAAAGGGCTGTCAGGAGCACACAGGACAGCAGTAGGCTTACCCAAAATGGAGCAGGTGGCAGTGGCATGTACTGCCAAAACACAAGGCCAGCCATCCTTGCCTGTACTTTGTTGATTAAAGAATCCTCCAGTAGCAATTAAAGAGGAAGTTGKTTTATGCTGTTCTGGGCTTCTGCATGATACACTTTGCCTTCTGTTTAGTCAGTCAGCTCTCTGCAGCCTCTTACATGTTGTGATGTCAGTATGACTGTATTCTAATAGTGTAAGTTTCTGGGAAATTGTTTTTCCTTGTCTTTGCCTTGTCTTTACCGGACTTCCCTTTCTCCCTTTTTGCAAGGTCCGAGATGAGTATCGGCAAGACTATGATGCTGGAAGAGGTGGCTACGGCAAAACTGTTCAATGCCAGTGACTCCTCAGCCTCACAAGAGAACCAAATATGCATTGTAAACATCACCAGACACTAAGTAGGTCTGTTGCACACAAATTCACAGAAACTCCTATTCATGTTCCTGTGAGCACATCCTATGTTCAATACCTCTTCTGTTTTTAAAACCAGGAACCAAAGCTTTGCAGAGGACCTGGGAGCAAGGCTTTAAGCATTAGAATGCTTGAGGCTTTGGTCTCTAAATGCTGCTATAACTTACTGAAAGGAACAAAGATGTAATATGGTGCTTTTTTTTCCTCTGGCAAAACTTGATTATTCTACCACTGGGTTTTGTTTACATTGGTATCACAGGGTGGAGAGCAGTGATAAAGGATGATTGGTGCATGTTTCACAGATGAAAGCCAAAGGCAAAGAGCCRGAAAAGGAAGTCGAATTTCTAGGGAAATTTTTCAATTTCTAGGGAAGACTTTTAAGTTGCAGATTTTCTGGGGTTACTGGATTAGCATCCTTTTTCACTGGTGCTGTTCTAGAACATTTACATGAACACTCATAATTAAACAAATCAGATTGAGTTTAGGAATCATGAAGTGGGAAGCAGCCTAGTAGAAGGCAAGAAACAGACCCCTGCAGTCTTACATTATACAAAGTATAATGTGATTGCATGACAGAGAAGARCAAATGTAAGAATTACAATACCTCTTATTTCACAGTTTTAGTGTTTTGCTCTATCTGGTAGCTCTTTGAAGCCTTAATATTTGCGGGCAATATCTTCCCTGTGTCTGTAAGTGTTGYATGAAGCTACGGTACCCCCAAAATTCGATGTTTGAGGAACTGGGTGTATAATGAGAAAGTTTATTCCAAAAATAGATTTTCTGTTTGAGAAAATTGATTTCAGACAAAARTAGAGACAAAAGAGTTTTGGGAAGATTCTTGCTTTCTACTGAGCATGTGATAAGAATGGTAAAAGAATTTCAGGATTGCATAGCTTGTGTTTTGGTTCTTTCCCCACTGGATGCTATTCCTACTGCTTGTTGATAGGTTGGGATTTTGGTGTATTGCTCACATAAGCTTAAAAATGTGATCCCAAGATCAGTGAATTTGGCCTGTTAAAATGAAATACTTTAAAARGAACTGTTAAAGGGCTTTGGAATTTCTTCATGATCTTCTGAGTTCCATGTAAATGGCAATTCAAAAAGTTWTGTCCAAATACCATGTTGTCCGTGGCTCCTTAAAAACCCTTAAAGATAGGTAAAAGTTGATTCTTTCTCACTGAAGGTATTGTAGGAGCTCTTGATGTGTTTCTTGTGTACAGTTACTCACAGCTGTTACTGTGGATTGGAAAACCAGTGAGATTCAACAAGTGCTTACTTAGGAAGTGTGRTTTTGGGTGAAYTTTGAGGTTTTTTGGCATGTAGCGTAAACTAGAATTGTGGGATCATTTGGTGCTRGTCTGCAAACAAGACTTTGAACAAAGTTACTTTTTCCAATATAGTACATTTGACTATGAGTTTACAGCCTGTAATCTGCTCTAAAACACTGTTGAAGTTTATTTTTCATTGTATTGATTTTGTATGGAAAATGTGTTACCAAAAATTCTAAAGACACTTTCTTTTAAATAAAGCTGCAATATCAAAATGGTTTGTTACCTTTTTTTTGTTGGAACAAAATCAGTGAAAGAAAGGAACTGTATTCAGACTCCTGGCCACATCCTTTGTTTTAATGTCTGTTGAGATGAATATTCCTTTCCTTTGACTGGATTTTCAGTGCTCCTCTGTCCAGATTAGTTGATTATAAGAAGGTGCTTTTTGTTGCGTGTTTGATTTTCTGGAATATCACTGTTTCACATCCTAAATTGCTTTTTTGAAAACAAAACTCCTGTCAGCCGGTCCTGCTGCCACAAGATGTCGTGAGAAGCCGTGTCTGGCTCCAGGGTGAGTGGGGGTGCCAGGATTCTGTCAGCTGAGGAGCTGTTGTGGAAGGARCGATGTGTTCTGAAAGCATTTCATCTCACAGTGCAGCTAAGGCAATGTCTGCATTTCTTGAAGAAACTCTTCAGATTAGAATTGTACTTGAAACAGAAGTGTCTGGTGACTGACTAAACTGTCTTCTACTGTACCTTGAAGCAGCAGAGTTAGAAGTGCCTCAAGGTTGCTGATTTAGAGGATGTCTCACACCACCAAGCACTGTAGAACTGAAACGCTGTGCAGGCTGGCAAAGGACTGGCTCATGGTTTGGGTTTTGTTGTTTTTTTTTTCTCCCCTCTAATTTACTCCAGTAAGAGAACGAATATGTTTCCATGAACTGGAAATGTGATGTTCATCAGCAGACCCTGGATACAGTGTTGATTCTGTGTTTGATAATAAATTTTCTCCTAAAGATGTTTAATTGAACAAAAACAGGCATGAGAATGACTCATTCCCTGTTAGAAAACAAAATCACTTTGATGCCTGTGAAGGAGTGGTGCTGTTCTGGGCCCAGTGCTTGGCAGGCTGGAGCTCTCCCTAMGCAGGGCACACCTGGGCAGGCACCACACACTCCTTGGTGCCAATATGGAATTGAGAAGGAAGGAATGAGCCAGGGCTCCAACTGCTGACAAACCTAAAGGTRATTAACTATTCCCAGACAGAGTTGTCCTGAGAGAGGAGAAAATGCCATGCAAATCTGAATGCTGGAAGCACCAAAGCTTTCAAATGCTCAGGGCTGTGATGGGCTCTGTGGAGGGGGCTGGGCAGCCCTGCAGGGAGTGTGTTCTCACTGGAGGGTGGCACTGGAGGTGTGTCGGACCCACATGGAGGAGGATCCCTGTTCCAGCTGCTGAAGGCTTCAGAGCCTGTGCTGTGGCTGCCTTCTGTGGGGAAGGCTTGGGTGCTTTTCTCTGCATGCCTGGCTGGTTTTCCCTTTTTTAATGGTTGTGGCAGGTGCCTGCTCTGTTCAGGAAGGGAGCTTTAGCACAACTGTTAAATCTAGGGGATTTTGATACATTCTGTGGGTATACAGGTATGTCCACACAAAATTTAGTCTGGATTGGACTTAATGTCAGTGTACTGGAATCTGTATTTCAGGTTTTTARTATTTTGCATTTTAATAGATTTTAGGTGAATATGTTACTTCACATAAAATGCAGAATTGCCTCTCAAGAATTGCTTTTTCAGTGTTAGCCAGGAGTTTATACTGGACTATGCAATTTAACAAGGAAGTCCTCTCTTAGTTTTAAGAGCTATCATTACAATCCTAGGAAATTAGCTTTTTTCGTGATTTCCAAGTACACAATACCTGAACAAAGTCAAGTGTAAGTCTAGTGTAATAGGGCTTTTTTAAAAACAAGTTTTAATTAAAAAAATTTTAAGGTGTAATGGATTTTCTAGTTTAGAAAGCATATAATAAAAATGCATTTTGTGTTAATGTTTAAAAATAATTCATTATTTTTAAACATCTTTTATTGCTGCATGTGTTGTGAGAACTTCTATCAGTGTCAGTATAACTTAGAGTGAGACGTGTGAGACTGAAACTGCRGAGGAATAGTGGTGACAAAAGCTAGAGGTAAAGCATCACTTTCTATTCAGCCTTCTTTTTAAGTGGAGGAAAAGTGTTCCACATTTGTAAGGATTATATTGTTGCTTTTCAGACATGATTCAAAGATAGGTATTGAAAGAGGGAAGGTATAAAACATCATTATGCCATTAGGAATTCTAGTTCCATTCAAATAGGAAATGTTCTATTTATGATCCTTAAAGAAAGCCCTCAGGTCATGAACATTATTTCCATTTGTTGAGAAAAATGTCAGAATTTTTCCTGAAAGTCTGTACAAAATGAATGTTTCTTTTGAACCCTTTATTCATTCAATTTTTGGGCACATTTAAAAAATCATTGAAGAATTAATAAAAGCTATGTGTAAAATTAAAGAGAAACCCCTCTGTGAAATTCCAATGTTTTTTACAGGATTCACAGTTTTTGAATGAAATAACTTGATTTCAGTAGGCCTGAGCTTGTTAGTTGAATATACCACAAGGAGGATCTACTTTTCCTTTGATTTTCTCCAGGATGGGTGAAGAATTAATTCAGAGACCTTGGCATGACTGTGTATAGGCCAAGGAAGAGAATGGGAACAGAGTTTTTGCTATCAGGTATGGAGGACGGTTTTTTAAGAGAAAATGATCTCAATTTCTAGGTTTGAGTGACATTAGAATATTTTTTGCTAATTGTGCTGAGCACTTGAATTTCTAAAACTTCACTTACATGAGGTTATTTTGTTTTATAAARAAAGCACATCCTGTGAACAGGGACATGAACCTATAACTGAAAAGGTTTTTGCATTTCTTGCTGTATTTGCAGTTTTATAATCTGAGAATRTTGCACATTTACAAAGGGAAAAGGAACTAAGTTGATGAGTGATGATGATGCAACATATGTCAGCAATTACATCGTTGCTGTGCTGCGTAATAGCACATTTGTCTTTTGAGTTTTGCTTGACATTTATAAAATTTACCAGCATCTGGATTTTTGTGGAAAGCTGATTAGGTTATGGACTTACTCTGGTAGGAACAAAGATGCTCTGAGCTGAATCACTTCTGGACATGAACTSSTGGGTCACTGTGATATGGAACTGAGCTCAGTGCCTTCCCTCTCTCATGTCAGCAATTGCAACAGAGGCATCTGTGGGAATGACAGATTCTTGAATTGTTATCCTTTTTTTTTTGTTTTCCATAATGTCCTAATATATCAATGTATTAAAAAGAAGCATGAACATTTGATTTTTCCCCATGAAGCCAGGAACTTACAAGTTGATTTATTTTATTAAAGCAGTGTGATTCATACTTTTCTTCAAGAGTTCCAGTTAAACATCTTAAGTGTYCTGCTAAATGCTGAAAGAAAAGATTTCAGTGCTTGCCCGCTGTTAAAGTTTTGWAGAAAAAWGTTTAGATGCTTGACTAGATTTCCCTATTTCTTGGCTAAGCTGTATATATTCACTTCCTGATAGCAAATTATCTGTTTTCTGTGGTTGCAAAGTTTACCGCAAGTAGCCTGGCATCCTTCCTGTAAAGGACAGGGCCACAGTCCCATTCTCAAAAGCATTTGGCTGTTTCCTYTCCCCCTGTAGTAAATGCTGTGTGCAGCTGTAAGGCAGCTGTTCGGAGTGCAGCAGGGAACACAGAGACAACCTGCTTCAATGCATAGCCCACATCTGTCCTTGGAAGAATTCAAAGTGACAGGAAGCATGCTGAGGCCATATGTCAGCAGAGCAGAGTTCAGAGCAGGCTGCACTGTAAGCACAGGTTTAATTTCTAGCACAGTTTTTGAGGCAGTTGTGTCYGGATCATTAAGAGCAAAAGTTGCCTTCTCTGAACTATCATTATGTGTCAGCAGTTGCTTGACAGTTTAATCCAATTTTGAGCCAACTTGGAAGTACCTTCCCCAGAAGCTCATGTTTAACTCTCAACAACTGTTGAGACTTACTGCATTTCTTTTAATTTTTTGTGTGAGTTACCTTTATATATTTTAAAGAATCAAGAATTTTTAAGAGTTRCCTCCATTAAAGGCTTTTGCAGCTGTGATCTGTACTGAAGGGACATTTCCTCTGTGAGTGGTTTGGTATCTTGAGTGTAACTCCTGTGAGACCTGGCAGAGGGACGTTGTCTTTGAAGCACTTCATCAGGTCTTAATCCCWTTTGAGTTTGGGAACACTGAAATGAATTGGCTATYTGAATGTGTTTGACTAAACAATAGCTTAATATGAGAAAGATGGCATCTTTTTGATGTGGCTTGTAATCAAGAAAATAAAATGCTCCTTTTCTATTTGTCTGATTAAAGGTACAGTATAAATCAAACGGGAAAAGCGGAAATTGTTCATCTCAGTCCTTGGGTGATCTGTATCAGGCAGATGTTAACAGGATCAAAGCACAAAGCAGGTTGCCCAGGGCTGTGTACAGCCAAGTTTTGAACAACATCTCCAAGGAGGGAGAACTCCACAACATTTCTGGGCAACCTGTTCCRGTGTTTAGGCATCTGTGATAAAAAGGCATTTTCTTGTGTTCACATGGAGTTTCATTTGCTGTAATTTGAAATTAGATTAATCAGTTTTGCACGGGAAGTTTCCATGTTTTCTGAAAGTGATGCTAGAATTTGAAGCATTGTGACTTCTTGATGAACTTTTGCTTCCTCTCCATGTTTTGTTTCGGTGTCACTGCACTAGCAACCTACCTGCTAGTAGAATGTCCTTTCCTGCTTTGATTTCTCCCATATATTCTTTGGCTTATGTTCCAAGCTGCATGGATGATAATACCACATTTGATTGCTCTTCTCTGCATCTGTGTAATTTGATGAGCACTGCTAATGAGCGCCTTCTGGGGAGAATTTAATTGATAAAGCTAGATTTGTCTGCTGAAAATGAGGAAAGCATAAGGTGACCTAATGGGAAGCTAAGGCCAAAATATGAACTTCTGGGGAGAAGGCACAGAAAAGCTGCAGATCACTGCCTTGCTGTGACTTGATTTGTGAAYGTCAGAGCCACCAAATRTGTACCATATTCTGCCTTAGAGTCACACATTTAAATTAACTGGGGTAACTCTAATGCTGTTGGAGCTGCTGGGTGCTGTGACCTACGCCTCAACTGCACTTGCAGCTGTGTGTTTGCT